TGAAGACCTCAGAGAAAAACTTTTACCAAAGAAAACTGGCCACTTACTTCATGAGCAGATGTGCCGTGGGGCAGAGCAGAGAACAGGTGTGTCTGGAGTCAGTCCACTTGCACCCTATCATGGACTCTGTGGTCTTGGGCTGGTGACTTTGCTTTCCTGGGCCTCCATTTTCCTCTTAGTAGAAAAGAGATCTTAACACCTACACCTAAGACAGGTGGTGCCGAAGACTAAGATTAAGAAGGCTTCGGGAAAGGTGGCTGCTATGAATGTGTGTGTGAACCCGAATCCTTACAGGCTTGTCTTGAAGGGAGCAAGGTGAGCACTGGGGCAATGTGTCACACACGGCAGGTGCTGCTTGGCTCTTCTCTGTCCCCACCTCCCTGTCACCCTCCCTCTGATTCTGGGCACCACACGTGGACAGAGGATGCTGGGCCAAGGATGAGAACATCATACCATGGAACCTTTTATTAGAACAGAGACATGTTTTGTACAGGCTGGAAAAAAAAGCCAGAAACCCCAGGAAGGTTATGCTTAGCTGTGGACACCAGATATCAAACAAGCCACGGGCTGTGTCACTGCGTGGAGGACAGGGTCCCAGGATGCCGGCAGACAGAGCAGCTTCTCCTCCTTCGATGTGGGCGGGTGGGTAGAGGCCGGCTGCTCGGGCTGAGCTGGGCTGCTGGTGGGTTCCCCAAGTTGGGGTTTTCCAGATGGGAGTTCCAGCCCCTGATGTGGAGAAATGGCCCTGGGGTGGATCAAGCCCCCTCCCAGGGCTGCTGTGGTATATTCTACTGGGTCCTTGGCCAATGGCTGCTGAAGGAGACAGCTGGAGATCAGGAGAGAAAAGATATAGCACAAAGAGAATTCCTCACAGCCTACGCCTGGCAAGAAAGAGCTACCAGGGGAGACAAGGGGAAGGCATGGGGTCAGGCAGCTCGGAGCTCAAGGGAGCCTGGGCAGGTCAAGCGCCCCCTTCCCGGACCTCAGTTTTCTCACCTGAAAAATGGGTCACAGCAACATGACTAGCCTCGCTGGCTGGTTTGATCAGCTGCACAAAATGTGGCCTGACACAATACACGGGGTCTGAAAGCCGGAGCATGGCAAAGCCATCCGGGCCTGTCCTTTGAATATGCTGGATGATTGGGCTTGGAGAGAAGTTCAGGCTCATACAGAGGGCTTTCACCAGGCCACAGAAGTCCCCAGGTGCCAGAACCTGGAGGTCTCCCGTTTCTGCCAGGACTCAGCTACTCCCAACTCACTCTGTAAAGTAAGTCCACACCCTGCTTCTTTATTTTTTCTGACCCTTTGACCTATAGTCTGCAGAAGACACGAGGGATTCTACATCTGACAGTCTGGAACTTACCGCCTCAGAGTTAGAACCCTTCCCTCCACCCTACCAAGAACACTTAGGCCAAGACCCATTTTACAGATGATAAGACTGAGGCCGGAGAACACTCCATTGTACCCAGACAGACACATATAGGCAAGAGAACCACATAAGAATGCTGTTCCAGTCTCTTTGGCTCAGCTTGTTAGAAGATGAGGCACAGCTTTTCTTGGCCGGAGAAAAGGAATTACAATTTTCATTCTCTTTTTCGCTCCCTCTCTCTCTTTTTCAAGGAGTTGTGACTTTTTAATAGAAGTTGGTTTGTGCACAGGCATTTCATTCCTCAATTAATTTCCATCTAAATGAGGTTTTCCCGGAGATAACCAGTGTTTTAGTTCCATTTGAGCTTAATTTGTATGACTGAAGCCTCCGTTTCCGCCAATTCCAATTTGCCGGGTGATTCTAGCACTCATTACCTGGGCGAGAACGTCCCCACCACAGACAGTGGAGCTAAGAGACAGACTGATTTCCAATAACGTTTCCGGAGAAGAGGTGGTCTCTCAACTCTCCCAATACCACTAAATAAATAGGAAATAAATTATTCATTAAGCCATGTTCTGATGAGGGGCCCCCATCATGGTATTTACAATGCAAAACAACTACCAACAAAAAACAAAACCAACAAACCCTCGGAAAACTGAAAATAATGCAAAACAGCAGGCACAGAGGGGTGATGACAACCCCATCGGTATCACTGGTCCATGGGTGCAGAGAAGGAAGCAGATGCAACAAAGCATTGCTCGATTGACACTGTATCTACCCTAAGGTCCTCAGCTGACACCGCTGGCCAATGGAAGGGATGTAGTTTGAGGATTCTGTTTTGTTTTTTTTTTAAATCAGACACAATTTTCTATTCAGCTGGAAAAGAAGGTAAAGCACGTAAGGCTATTTCGAATATTTGTGAAAAGGAATACAGCAAAGAAAAGATAAAAATGAGGCTTGAGAAGAAGAAAATGGACTTTGAACCTTTGGGAGCACCCCAAATATTCACCTCTTCAAGCAAAGCCTTTGGGAAAGGAAGATGGATCTTGGTAAATAAAGTGATGGGGGCTCTCTGAGACTGAGAGCCTCGTGTCTTTCAAACATCACAATTCGTGTGTTTTGTTTCTGAAAGACTGACTTTCCTTCAAAGAAGGGAACAGATGGAGGCAGAAATGCAGTCCAACCTGGATCAACTAGAATGTTGGGTGGGGGATTTGAATTCACTTTTCTGAATCCACTAATGGGAGTTCACACATTGCTTTTAGGCTTTATTCTCATGATTGAGAACCTCCTAAAAATGTTTGAGGATATTTTCCTTTTTTCTCTAAGTCTCAGTGAACTCATTAGGTCTTTGAAGAATTGCCCAGGCCTCAGGTCAATGTTCTGGGTTGTATCTCAAAAACTCCTCCACTTCTCAAAGGTGGAAACTTTGGCCCAGAAAGAGGAAGCAATTTGCCTAGCTCCACACATCCAGGGACTATCCAGAGCAGGAGGATCAAAGGGCTGCATGTTGTTTGACCTCAAGCCACATCTCCCTCCCATTTCCCATACTACTTTTTAAAATAAGTTCTAACCATGAGCAGGTTTCAGGCCGTCTGTATCATCCCCTGGAAGCAGAAGTGTACTGAGGGTGAAGGATGCACAGAAACAGCAGTGCCAGGTGTGAGGGTGCTGGCTAAACAAGGTTTACCAGTGCCCCAATAAGAGTTTTATTTTTGGATGGGAAGGAAAGGAAATGTAAAGGAAATTTGAGAAACACACCAAGTGACAGGGAAGGGCAGATTTTCTCCCAGGAGGCATTTAAGTTCTTGCAAGCTTTCCCAGGCTAGGGGTACTCCTTTGCTTGGGTTAGAGCAGAGTAAAGTCACATTGCCAGGGAAAACAATCAGGGATGTTGAAAAAGTCTCACCAAACCCAAAGCCGGACCAGGCAAGCTGGCCATGCCAAGGCAGTGAAGAGTGACTTTGGAAAGGGCGGGCACCCTCTCTACTCAGCTGCTAGTGGGTGAGAGAGCCAGGGCTGGTCAAGACCTCTGGATCCTGGTTCCCAAGACAGGTTTTGGAATGGCCTTCTCAAGGGGGTTGGGGGTGGGGAACCTCCGGCTGCTCCTTTCATTTTGTTTGTTTTCCAACTTCAGAAATAGTAGTATGCTCTCTCCTGAGGTCACAGAAAAAGGCTTTTGCTTTGGGTTTGTCTCTCTCTCTCAGGATGGCTGATACCTTGTCACTAGGGCAACCCTGAGCTCACAGGGGATGGGGAGAAATTAGCTAAGGGGGTGTTCAGAAGCATGTGTAACTTCTATGAAAACACTTAGCTTAGGCTCAGAAGAGCAAATGACCTCACCCACTAATATATTCCCTGGAATAAGGGTGAGATTCAGAGGTGCACATATGTCTCACACTGGGTGCGTCCCTAAAGGTCTTTCACAGATGATTTAGACTTTGAAGCTTTTGCCTTATGTGCTAACTTTAGATTCTAACCCCCATGTCAGCTGTGACTCTACAGTGTCAGGTCAGCACCTTAGCTCATAAGCTTCTTGACCATTTTCATCTTTTTGGTACTTCAGTTAGGTAACTGGTAGGCAGGGGGACTGGGGTGCAAGCCTGAACTTCACCCGACTTGGGCCTGAATCTTAGGCATGAATCTTTGGCCTGAAGTGCTTCTGTCCCACCTCCAGTGTGTTCCAAGCTTAGAGCTCTAAGTCTCTTCCTTTCAGGGAAAAGGCAAACATCCCCACCCACATCCAGCCTCTCAAATTCCATCCATAGAGACATGAGGGGAAAAAAAAAAGAGAGATGCACAAAAATACTTTAGAAGTTTCCCCTCCTCCCCAAACACACATATCACACACACACAGATACACACACCCTCTCCATATAAATAAATAAATACTTGAATACTGCTAATGGCAACCGAGAGAAAAAGAGAGGGAGGCAGAGGGAATCCCATAAATAAATAAATAAACATAAATAAATAAATAAGAGGTTAGCTAGGAGCCCCAGGCAAAAATGGTCCCCCAGAATTGCATGGATGAAGGCAGTCTGGACGGGGGCTCTTGGTTCTTTCACTGCTGTCCTGCTAAGGAGGTTCCGTGGCTCCAGAAAGCCTTTGTTTCCATGAAGGGAGACTGGAGTCCAGTTCGGGCTCCTGGGCAGGGAAGAGGGTTATTTACAGTTGCTGCACAGGCCCTCCCAGGGCACCTGCCCCTGTCCAGGCACCTGCCATCAGGCCTTCTGCAGTGACCATGCTGGCATCCATTAGTCTTGGTGGGCGGGGCCCAGTTCTGGTCCAGTGGGTGTCATGGAAAGGCCGGGTCCCCCACTGCTGCCCTGGTGCCTGGCTCCCCTCTCCTGGTGGAGGAAGGACTTTCGGGATCATTGCAGGGCAGTTTCTGGCCTCACAGGCTGATACGATGGGAAAGATTGGGGAAGGAGGACGTCACTGCTTCTAAGAAACAGGATTTTTTTTTTCAAATGTTTCCCCTCCTCGGGGTACAAGGGATAAAGAATATTTGGTTCTCTGCTTCCCAAAGCCCCAGGTTCCAACGCTGGGGACTGTCCCTCTCACCCTCTCCCTTCATGCCCTGCCTGGCTGCTGTTGCCACCACAAACTGGACTCTTACCCGCAAGGCTCCGGAAAGCCAGTCAGCTGGTGAGGGGGATGCCCCAGAGTTTATTTTAAGGATCTTCTCCCTCATGCCCCTGTTCTTAGCGCCCTCCGTGGGTGAAGCAGCTGGTGGTGTTTGTGTGTTGGAGATCAGCTTACCTTCACTGCCCAGCCCCGGGCAGGGGTGGCGGGGCGTTGGGGGGAGTGGGGTGAGGGCAGAAATGAGGGTGGGGCTTTTCCCAACCTGCTAAGAACTCTGGAAACCAGCAGGAGCTTCGGAGCATCCAACCTCCTTTCCCCTAGACTCTCTGGATTTGGATCTTTCCCCCAAACCTGGGCTGCTATGCCCCATCCTGGCAAAATTCCTGAGGGGCAAAGTGGCTGACTTAGGCTGAGGGTGGGTAGGTGGGTGAGTGGGCGCTTGGATGCAGTGGGCAGGACCCAGGGTGCGGCAGTCTGGGCAGTGGGAGGGGGCAGGCAGGCGCCAACTGGAGGGTAAGGCCAGACTGGCTGGCGCTGGGGGCTGGCAGCTGGCCACGGCACTGGGGAATGTTCAGCAGATGGTCCCGTGGAATTAAGTTGTTGCCAGCTACTGGGGCCGAGGCAAACTTGGGAAGTGAGGTTGCAGACCAAGCTGTCCTGACTGTCCATTGTGTCCTTTCTCAGAGGTCGTAGGGTCCCTGTGAACCACCAAGAGGCGTTTTGTGTACATGGCCTGGCGGCCTCTCCATGGCTAGAAACTACTGGGCTCCTCTTCCTGACCACAAGGAGCTACTGGGAGCAGTGGACTTATTCCCCCCTCCTTCTTGCTTCTATACTCATGACCAGAGAGTCCATCTCCTATCTCCTGACAGCTACTACCAAGTGAAATGTCCATGTCCCCTAGTCACGTGTCCCCCTTTCTAGGACCCAGTAGCCTTTCAGCACTTGCTCTGACCTATGTGGGGAGCTAAAACTCCTGACCCCTCTCTTGGACCTGGACCGCCCCGCTCTCTTCTAATACCCACTCCTCACCCATGGGACTCATGGGGATCCATACACGCGGAGCCACGAGACTGGATGAGAGGAGAAGGAGGGCAGCTGTGATAAATACCACTGGTCTTCGGTATGCAGCCTGGCAGCAGTGGGCTAGCAGAACTCTCTCTACATTTTCCTGGCCAGACCCAAACTTCTTAGTCATGGACTCACTGCGCCTTACAAACCGTTGAGGCTTTTCTGCGCCAAAAGAAGGTAGTCTTCTCCATATGCTCAGGCCTGAGCTGAGCCCCAGAGGGTGTGGTGGAAGCTCCCAGCAGCTCCCAAGCCCTCCTCTCCTCCTCCCCAGGAGAGCAGGGAGGACAGGGCCTAGGAGCCCTCAGTGCTGTCTGTCACCAAGGAGAAGGCAGGGTGGGCGGGGAGTGGGGGAGACTGCCAGAGTGAAAGGGGCCCCACGGGCAGTGGGCTCACGGGAGGGCCCTGGCCTAGCGCCTCGTGCTGGAGTAGCTGTCTGCCGAGCTGTAGCTCCCACTCCGGCTCCGGCTCCGGCTCCGGCTCCGGGAGCCCAGGCTGGGGCTGCGGGAGCTGCAGCTGCTGCTAGTGAGGGTCCTGCTCCGGCTGCGGCTGCGGCTGCGGCTCCGGGAGTAGCTTCGACTGGCTGAGCGGCTGCTGCTGCTGCTGTACCAGGAGGAGGTGCTGCTGAGGCCGCTGGACGAAGAGGGGCTGGGCCGGTAGTAGGGGATGGGGCGTTTCCGGGCACTGCAGAGATCACAGGGGGAAGTGTCAGGGCAGGACTCCTCCCAGCTGTAATCCCGGGAGCATTGGCATTGTCCCAGGAGACAAGTCCCAGCTCCTTAGGGGGAAAAATATCCTGTTACTCTTCCCTTGCAGTCCTGAGAACATCAAGGAGCTGGTCTCAGTCTAGTGCTGATATGCTTTGAAAAGTGATAATCTCGCTTTTTTAACACAGCAAGGCTGGGCTCAGAGAGAGCATCCAGCTGGCCACAGAATCTACATCTCAACTTTAATCATAGTTTTGTTAGGGGAGGCACAGTGATTGAAACCACCCACCCTGGCTAAGCATCATAGTAACCATTTGCATGAGTTTTTTTATGGCAGGAGATCCTGATAAGGAATATGGGACTAATAAGCCACCACCAGCTGGAAGAGTTCGGGAAAGGTGGAGAGGAGACATTGCCTGTCCGTCCACTTCCCAGAATCCCTCTTGCTAGCATCCATCTTGGCTGAGTGATGCGTGTGCCACCAGGAAAAGCTCTGAATTAGAATGACTGGCCAAAGACCACCCGGAAACTAATCCCATCACCATAAAAGCTGAGACTGTGAGCCATGCGGCAGAGCAGTTCTCCTGGGTTCCCTTACCTAGTGCTCTCCACCCGGGTGCCCTTCCCAATGAAATCTCTTGCTTTGTTAGCATGTGTCTCCTCAGACAATTCATTTCCGAGTGTTAGACAAGAGCCCAGTTTCGGGCCCTGGAAGGGGTCCCCCTTCCTGCAACAGTTTTGTTTTGCTATTTTTACTAGAACCTTCTATTTATGGCAAAAGAGGTTGATTTTTCTATTTATTGTAGTGTATCATTTCATTTTGAAATAAATGTATGGACCTAAAAAAAAGGCATACCTATTTAAAGAAAATTAAGTAAGCAGTACACTTAATCAGACAAGGCAAAAGTGGTGGGTGATGGAAGCTTGGGAAACATTGAATGGATTCACTCAGGTGGATTACTTGGGGTTGAGTATGGAACTTTGGAAACACCAGTCCCTTTTTCTTAGCCTTAATCCAAGTCCACTCCAAGGATACCTCTGAAAGTCAAGGCAGTGAGTATAGGACTCCCACCATATGTGCCAGGCCAAAGCAGGCAGTTCAGTGAGACATCTGAGAAGATGACACCATTACCCTGCCTTACTGTCTGGGGCACAAGCTCTTTTTTCTCCTTCTGGTCATCTCCAGGGAGGACTCATGGGCAGCCAGGATTCTCCTTTCCTTGTGGGTCTCTGGACTGAGTAGCTGACCCTTGAAGGATCAGGAGGAAGACCCACCAATTTTCAAGAGCCATTTTTAGGGCAGCATTCAGCCATTCTCTCCATTTCAAGGCCTGAGAATTCACAGACTTCGGGATTCTCTTCTAGGGCTTTTCTCATTTAAGACCTTACCTGTTACAGAAATCTTTACCTACGGAGTCTGACCATTCAGTCCATCACAAGGCACACAGTGGGTTCTAGTGCGCTGCATTTAAGTGTATAAATTGCATTCATATCTCTTTGCCTCTTTTCATTTTATTCTTCTGACACTTCTAGGAGTTATTTCCTCCAGTAGTTCATGGGTGAAAAAACTTAAGATTCTGGGAGGTGAAGAGACTTTCCCAGCTCACCCTGAAAGTGGCACAGCCAAGATTCCTCTCCAAAATACTGGTGTTCCCCTTACGCACTAGCGCATCCCACTCCCCCACCCCCTTCTGGTACCTAAACTATCTTGTTCGCCCTCTCTACCCTTGGTTCAGGGTATAATTACCAACGGTTGTATTCAAGCCTTGCACCTGGGCGCGTGGGTCTAAGGGTGGAGCCAGGCCATGCAATGTCCGCGTTCAGTTCCTTGCTTGCGCCGGGTTGCAAGGCCGGACCTCATTCTATGGCCCAGCCCTGCCAGCGGCATTCCGGCAGCTTCCGCAGGTTCCGGCCACACCCGATTCCTCAGGCCGGCTCCACCCTTCGACCTGCCAGCTCATTCTAGCCCCGCCCACCGCCCCGCCCCCTCTGGCAAGCCCTCTGGGTGGTGGGGTGCTGACTCGCTCCAGGCTTTGAACGGAAACCTCATTTCAACGGTTGGGGAGGTCCCTGAGCTCCTACAGTCCTGAAATGCAGCCCAAAGGCGGCTCCAGCGGGTGGGCGGGTGGGAAGGGAGTGCAAGTGAGGTGGAGCTGGTACCCGGCCTCCTGGCCTCACCTCGTTATCCTCCGCGCCTCCAGGTGGCTCGGGGAGTCTCTCCGGCGCTTCCTCATGGGCGAGTAGGACCGACGTCTCCGCCGAGCTCGCTCGCGCTCGCGTTGCTGCGAATCCTTCTCGCTGTACTTGGGGTTCCGCTCCCTGAAGGGGTGCGGTGACGGGGTGGTTACTGGGGAGCTGAGGCTGCCCTGGCTTTTTCGGTGTGAGCGTGTGGGAGAAGGGCACCCACTTTGCCTCCTGCCCACTTTACCCCGCTGGGGCTCCCAGGGAGGCCGGAGGGAAGATAGCATAGCTATGGGAGAGTCTACGTGGATGACTGGCTACTGAGGAGGGGTGCAGCTGGGCGTGGGGAGGGGTGTCAGCCTTTGAAGGTGGGCATTGCAGGGGTCAGGATATGAAGGTTAGGTGGGTGGGCCCAGGTGCCGAGTAAGAAGTGAGAATTAGGGGCTCTGGATATAGGGATGTGGGGTGGTACTAGGTGTGTGAAGAGGCTGAGGGCTGGGGATATGAATTCCGGGGTGTGGCTGAGGATTTGGGGTAAGTACATGAGGATGCAGGGAAGTTCTGGGGACCTCACCGTCGCTTGGATAGGACATAGGGAACCACTAGGAATGCTGAGTCACCTTCCCATCCATAAGCGGGCGGGGCTTGACCGGAGAGGAACTGAGCAGAGCTAGGGAGATGCTCCAGAGAGACGATGCGGGAGAGGAGTGAGTGAGGGAGTGAAAGTCGCTCAGTCGTGTCCGACTCTTTGTGACCCCATGAAATTCTCCAGGCCAGAATTCTGGAGTGGGTAGCCGTTCCCTTCTCCAGGGGATCTTCCCAACCCAGGGATCAAATCCAGGTCTCCTGCAGCCCAAGAATACTGAAGTGGGTAGCCTATCCCTTCTCCAGCAGATCTTCCTGGCCCAGGAATCAAACCGGGTTCTCCTGCGTTGCAGGCGGATTCTGGACCTGAGCAAAGGAGCATGGCCGGAGGTGGAGCCTAGCTCGAGGGGCGGGGTCAGTGCCTGGGGGTGGGGCCTGTACCTGCTGGGACTGTAGCGGGAGTAGCTTGGGCTGCGGCGCGACCTAGAGCTTCTGCTAGGCGGGCTTCTCTTGCCAGACTTGGAGGAATAGCTGGCAGAGCGCGAGGAGGACCTGGAGGAGAGGAGACAGCCGCTGAGGGGCCTGTTGAGCTCCGCCGGGCTTGCCCCGTCTGTCTAGCGTTTTATTCAGCTGGTCCCCGGGGCCTTTTTATTTCTGGAGGTCAGGCGGAGGAACCCAAGCCCTTACCTAAGGATGAAACCCCCTTCCTTTTGAATGGTTAATAATAATATCAACAACTTCCCTTTATTGAGTTCTTCCTATCCTGGCCATTGGGTAGCTGTGTGACCTTGGGTAGGTGGTTTCACTTCTCTGGGCCACTTTTCTGATCTGTAAAATGGTAAAAGTACTTACCCAATTAGAATTGTCAATTAAATGAGTAAATTAGGGTAAATTACTTAGCATCTTGGTGTAAAGCCAGCACACATGAAATGTTTATCATTATATGATTATCATATATTTTACTATGTGCTGGATTTTGAACTAAATGTTTTGTGTATATTATCCCATTTGATTCTCAGCACTTCCTAGGGTTAGACTCTGTTATCAATCCAATTCTATAGATAGGGACACAGAGGCAGAGAGAAATGATGTGATTTGTTCAAGGTCACTCAGCTGGTAAGGGGTTTGGACCCATGTCTGTTTGGCTACAAGATGCTCCTGACTTCTGCTGGACGATGCTGTGTGCATCCAAATTACTAGCACCTATGCTGTTTCCAGACTTCTTCCCTTTTGCTAATGTCTTCCACTTTTAGAGAAACCAATCTCTTGGTTTCTCCAGTTTCCCAGAAACATCTACCCTGCTTCCTCAGTCTTTCAAGTAATTTTCATTTCACAATTGATGACTTGATCTGATAGTTGTTCCTGCTAGGGTTGGGAGGGATTATGTGGCCATGTCTGTGTTCAGTGGGAAAGAGCACTGTGATGGATTAGCAATGTCTGCCATGGGCACAGGGATGAGTAGGGGGGACTCTCCAAAGTTCTCCTATCTATTTTCAATTTGAAAAGAAGTTTTGCTCTAACTTGCCCTCACCTAGGTGTTCCTTAATCCCTTCCTACTTTCTTAGGTGATCATAATAACTATCGCTCTGGGACTCTATTCTTACATACTGTCCAGGGTGAGGAAAGGAGTGTGGACAAGGAATAGCTCCTGGGACAACAGTGTCCAGCTGTGGCCCCCGGAAAATTTGCTTTTGCCAACTTGCTCTTTCCCCATTTATTGAGAGATGTTAGTAAAGAGTGTGAAGATGAAACATGGTTTTGGATACTTTGAAAGGATATCAGGCATTTCTATCCACTGTGGTACATACTGTCCTCTTTCTGTGGAACTAGATGAATCATTTTTCATACTTAAAAATCAGAAATAACTGCTCTTCCAGGCAACTAGTTCAATTTTTATCTTTTTTATTTATAACGTAAAGGAACAATTTCCCATTTTTGTCTGCCAGGGAGCTTAAAGTCACATTTGCAGCACACCCCCATAGTGACTACCGTCATCCCTCAGTACCTGTGGGGGACTGGTTCCAGGAGCCCCTGTAGATAGCAAAATCTGTAGATGCTCAAGTACCTTTTATAAAATGGCAGAGTACATTGAATACACTGGTCTTTCATAAATAGGGATGTGAAACTCCCAAGTACAGAGGGCTGACTATACAGAAAGGTAGGACCTGCCATTGGGAGCTAACCTTCCTCCTGATTTAATTCTATTTCTCTCCTTCATTTTCCACTTTGCCTGATCTTTTCTTCTATTTATGTCACTATCATGTTGAATCCCTTGCCCTCTTACTCTGAACTGGTCTTGAGGTAAACACCTATATAAGTAACTGTGTTTTGATTATATGGTTGCAACAGAGGAACAGTCTGGCTGCTGTTGGAAGTTCTTGTTTGCAGAGGGACACTGGACTCCATTAAGCCATGGGTTGATTAGATTGGATGCACTCTTCCAATTCCCAAGATCTCATGTCTCTGCATTCTGCTATATCATTATTCCACATGAGAAAATCAAGTAATAACCAATGGTTATTGGAATTGAGTGGTAAAATGCAAAGATGGACACAGTTCTTCTCCCTGTATCCATGCCCCTTGCCAGATGACTTTGCAGTTCCTCCCACTAAGAGGAGCATCCCTTGTATCTATCTGGATTGGTCTTGTGACTTGCAGTGGCTACGGAAATGGCTGAAGAGATCATGCTTGTTCCAAGCCAAGGACTTGCATACTACTGCTGTCTTTTGGAACCCTGCCATCACCACGTGAACAAGCCCAGACAAACCTGCTAGAAGATGGGAGGCCACATGGAACAGAGATGAGTTAGCTGGGGTCATCCAAACAAGCCAGCCTCCAGCCAACCCACCAGCTGATGTAAGACACATATGTGAACCCAAGACGGAATAGAAGAACCACTCAGCTGAGTCCAGCCCAAACTGCTGACCCACAGAATCAGGAATGAAGTAAAAACTCACTGATAGGGATGCTACATTTGGGGGCATTTTTTTGGTGGGGGGGAGGGGGCTGTGCTCCATGGCATGTGGGATCTTAGTTCCCTAACCAGGGATGGAACCTGTGCCCCCTGCAGTGGAAGCACAGAGTCTTAACCACTGGACCACCAGGGATGCCTTGGGGGCAACTTTTATGCAGCAGAAGATAATTGATACATGAGTGGATCCTCATGACAATAGCAACAATCAAAACTGATACTATGTTCTAAGCATTGATTGAAGTGTTTAATAGTCCTCAGGACAACCCTTCAGGGTAAGATATATTACAGTTTTCATTTCAGTAGAGGAGGAAACTAAGGATCAGAGAGGTTAACTGACACCCAAGGCCATCGGCTAGTAATGGAGAGAATGGGTATTTGAACTCAAATCTGTTCCATTCCTGTTCCTTGGGGGTCAAAGGACATCTCTAGTTAACCTAGCTAGCTGGAGTCCAGGTCAAAACTGCACTCACCTTTTCCCAGAGGAGGTGGATCGGCTCCTGGTGTACCTGGGGGAGGCTCTGGGGTTTGGGGATCGGGAGGAGTGGCTGGAGGAGCGTGTGCTGGCGTAGGAGGAGCTTCGGGAGCACCCTCTCATGGGGGAGCTCCGGGCTGTGGATGGGACCAAATTGGACTTCTTCACCTCGGTGCATTCCTGACATGGTGACTGAAATCCTCTGCATGGGGGAGAACCACTGTTAGCACTGGCCTGCCCACTGGTCTGGGGGCGTCTTGAGCTGATGCTTACTTCCCTACCTTTGCCTTGGCTGTGATGCTCTTGCAACCTGCACCCCTGCCTCCCCACCCCCGGCCCACCTTTCCCCCTCTTACTACCTCTGGAAAGATTTCCCAGACCACAGATGTTAGAGGAGTGGAGATAGAGTAGAAAACACACCAAAGGGGAGGGGGCAGGGTGGGTGTGATCAAATCCCACGGTGCAAGGTTTAGTTTCTCTCCTATCTTTTTCAGTCCCTCTGATTATATTAATAAGAAAGCCTGGGTTGGGTACTAGTGGGTTTTTACTATCTCTTTTAACACTTGCAAAGAGAGAGAGGAGGACTGAGACTCAGAACCTTGGGTAGGCAACTGTAACTAACTAAAATTAAATATTTTGTTTTAATCATATGTATTTTCACAGGTGCCTTCTATTAGGACAAGAGATAAAAATTTTCTATTTAAGATAGTACTATAAGTTTCCTTGTATTAAAAAGTGAGTTTATTAAAGTAAATAAAAGTAACAGAAGTACCTGGATATGGAACAACTCAAAAACTGGCTGATTTAAGTTCGGGAAACTGGTGTAGCCCACTTTGTAGATGGGGCAATGGAAACCTAAAGAAGGGTAGAGGCTTGTTCACACTCACACAAAGGACAGGGTCCTGTCATATCCTCACCTTGCCTAGAGCCATGCTGGATTCCTGTTGGTTCTTAGTAAGGACATGTTCATTTGGGTTGGGTCAAGGGTCAAGTTCAAATCACATTAATATGGTTTCATCATGACCCAGCCCCTGCTCACCCTCGTCTCAGCTCTGCCACTTTCCTCTCTCGACTGCAGTCACAATGGATTACTGGTTTCTCCTGGAATAGTCCTGTTCCCTTCCTTGTCTGCATGCCGTAGAACATCCCCACTGCCTGGAGCCTGTTCCCTTTCCTCTTCGTTTGACCGCTCCTGCTCATGGCTTCAGGCTTCTTGACTCCCTTCAGTTTGCTTGTGTCACCCCAATGTGTTAGCACAACCCCCAGCCCCAATGCCTCCCCCACCCCTAGATGGCTTGCTTGGCCTTGTAATTGTTATCTCCCTCTGCCAGACACCAAGCTTTCTGGAGACAGAACTCATGTCTCTCTGGACACTGTATCTCAGCACCGAGGACAGAGCCTGAGACATTATGTCCTAGGTCATCAATAAACAGCTGTGGAATAAACATGCTGAGCCTCTTAGCATCCTGGGTGCTTCACAAGCATCATCTCATTTATTCCCCCCAAAACCTTAGGAAGTTGGTACTATTATTACCCCTTATTTACAGAGAAGACTCAGAAGGGTGAGTTCCTTGCTCATGGCCACCCAGAGTCTCAAATCCTGATCTGTCCAGCTCTGAAGCCCATGCCCCTGCTCCCTTGCCAGCCCCCGCTTTTACTGTCTACGGTTCCCCTGATTTAGAACTGATGTCTCTTCCACTCGGCCCTCTGCTCATAGCTGACATGACATAAATAGCCATGGATTTAAATATCATTTATATTTCATAGTGAAAGTTTGGGTCTAAATTATTGAATCCTGCTGTCCATGTAGATCAGATTAAGCAGGTACCTGCTAGATGCTGTTCAGGCTTAACTCCAGTTCTGGAGACACAAATCTGTGTTTTCAGTCCTGGCACCAGCCCTTATTAACTGAGTTTCTTAACTATTCTGAGCTTCAGTTTCCCCATTAGTTAAAAGAAAGTTATAATAGTACCTATCCCATAAAGGTTGTAGAAGGAGTTTAGGAAGATTATCTGTGGAAGGCACCTGGCATAATACCTAGCATTTAGTCAGGGCTCCATAAATAATAGTTTCTGTTACTGTTGTTGTTATTGCTATTCTCAGTATTTCTGGCATAATAGCTTTAAAGTAAATACTGTGGTATATTTTTAAATGATAGTGAGTTAACGTTAAGACTTTCTCCTGAAATTATTGATAAAATTGACATCTTTTTTTTTTCCTTCCCAACTTCCATTCCTCCTCCTGATTAACAGTACCCTGCTTTCCCTTCAGAGAACCAGACTTTCTTCAATTTTACTGTACACAGGAAGATTCATTAGCTCTGATGGTGGCATGCAACAAATTCTAGCCAAGAACACAGCATCCTCTGGGCAGTGTGTTTGGTCTTGGGTGAACAAGCTGGACTAAGCAGAGGCAATGAGCATTTGCCTTGATAGTTTGCTGAAATTTTGGGAAAAGAGGCATTTCCCTTCCATTGGCTAGCTAGATCGACAGGATGTTAACTGGATGGCATATTTGCCAATTCTTTGGGATGATCTGCTTGAGAATAAAGCCAAGAGGGGGGAAGCAGAGCTGAGAGAAGTAATGGGAAAGGCAATTTCTCAATGACACATTTTTGAGACCCTGGATCCAGCTATACCTGAAGCTGATATCCCTGGTTTCCCCCCCCCCCCAAATTATGCTAATTTGTCTCTCTTTTGCAAATAAAAGTCTCCTGGCTTGGAGTGTGTGTGTGTGTGTGGGGGGGGTGCAGTGCCAGGTTAGAGATTGAGATGGTGGAGCTCAGTCAGGACCCCTCCTCCCATCCAGGTGCACTGACCTTGACTCTCTGCCCCTGCTGGTGGGGGAGAGGTTCTCCAAAGTGGCCCCCTTGTTCTGGGGTGAGGAAGTGGTGAAGGAGTTCCCTGAATCAGAGGTGTTTCCACTGTTGGGGTCCCGGCTCTTGCTTAGGCCCCCACTGGGGCTCCCCTTCTCTTGACCCCGAGACCTGGTTGAACTGATTTGCGTGGAGGGTGGCGAGGAGGTGTCATTGCCTGAGTCATACTCCTGGGAGCGTCCTCGGGAGGTGGTGAGCGGGCTGGCTGTTTTGGTAAAGAGGTCAGCAGCAGACCCCGACCCAGTGATCTGAAAGCAAAAAGACCCGTTGGACACTGCTGAGTGCCGGGCCTGTGGGTTGTGTCTAAATAACCAAGAAATGTTTACCATCATGATGCACTGTAACGAAAGGAAAGAGAGAGAGGAGAGGAAAGAAGGGACGCCAAAAAACAAAAGCACAAATTCCTGAAAGAATACCACAGAAAGGAGATCTTTTTTTTTTAAACCCCCTGCTAGGATAACTGGAAGATTTAGGTATCATGCAGAGAAAAAGCATGCGATCCAGATTAAACAAAAGAAAAAGGAAATTATACAAAATTTCTAATGAATTAACTCAAACAAAAGAGACAACTTAAAAGAAAGGGTGTGTGTGTAAACACCCTTAACCTAAAACAACAATAAAAATAAAGAAAGGTAGGGGGAAAGAAAGGAAGCTATGGGCCTGAAAAAATACATCTTGAAACATAAAAACGACAAAAGGAGATAAAGCCAAAATTTTAAATGTCAACAAAATCTTCAATGAATTTGACTTTTTTTTTTCTTAAAGAAAAAGTTGCCCAAATAGAACCCTAAACAAATATCACATGGGGAAAAGAAATGAAATAAAGATGAGAGGGTTTTTTTTTTTAATATAAAGTCAAGGTCACAAAATGATATTTTAGTAGTTTTCAACTAAAGGGGAAAAGAAAGGGTGGGGGGACAAAAAAATGGAAGTCAAATTGTCTGACTGAAAACAAACAAAAAAAAAGCTCTCTACGGATATTTGCGTGTGTCCTTTCCCCCTGGAGAAGGTAGCTAAGGCTCTCGAGTGGCTTCTAATAAATTCTCTCATGTCTTTGCGGATTATATCCACTTACCAAGCAAGAACTCCTCCTTTAGTAGGTAGGTAAGGTGTAAGAGAAAGGGAAGAGCGGGCAAGGTGAGTCCATCATTAGAGTCGCAAATGACAAGTAAAAACACACACCTTTCTGTACATCCTCACACTGGGCCCTGAACTTTGGACTTTGGGTTTTCAGTGTTCTTGACAGGTGAAGCATCACTTCTGGTTGGCTTTCTCAGTAAGGGGACCTCAAGCCATCAACACTAACCTTGTCAGTCCCTTAACGCCCAAGTTGGATCAAGAAACCCTTGCTGACAACGCAGATGGTGGCTAGAGTTCGCATCAATCTGAGATGTCAAGATGGGGGGCGGGGCACAGGGAGGGTGTGCTTGTAACAAATGGCTTTGGGAAGGGCTTGGAGATTTGGCTTTGGGGTGACTGGGAATGCAGAAGGGTCCCCAGAATCCTGGGTGTGGCTAATCTAGGGCAGATGAAGAAGTAAAGGAGGTGATGGAGGAGAGCCAGCCCTTGGGAAGGCTATAGAGTGTTTAGAAGTATAACGGATGGTTTTCTTTAAACACTCAGACCAGTCTTACAGCTCAGATGACACAGTTGGATCGGTCCCTATCAATATACCACGCTTAGCTGTGGGCAAGAGGAACCTCTGCCTGGATCTCCTCCAGTGACAACCATTCCCATGGGTCGAGAAATCTGCAGGGCTACCTGGAAACCTTTCCTTGAGATTAGTCTCTGGAGACCTTAAGTCCCAGAATTCTCTGTTTAAATGGCCGTTGAGTCCCCTTCTAGGGTGTCTTCAGGCTCTCCATGATCTATTCTCCCAGGGATAGACCATGCTTCAAGTGTGCACATTTATAGGTCCAAACATGGCTATCTGAATGGAATTTGGATGTTCGGACTGAGGTGTCCATGTGCATGTGTGAGAGGTCTGTCATGGTGATGAAGCAAGATGTGGGGGGAGGAGGGACCAGGGTGTTGGGGCAGATTCTCTCCACACTGTCATGTTGTGGTCTGGCACTCCGAGGGGTCCGAGGCCCTAAATCCAAATCTGACTCTCCCGATCATTTTAAAGATATGTTTGCCAAGATAGGAGAACATACTTCATCTAAGTTTGCTGTCTTGATTTAAAAACATTTAGTGTGTGGCTTCTTCTTCTCTACTCTTGTCCCATGCCCTGCAAGTATTAGCACAGATCTCACCATCAAAAGCCTGCTTCCCCCACCCAGTTTCTCCTATGAACTTTGAGCCTAAAGAAGGGGGGCTCTAGGGATTTCTTAAGGAAATATTTCTGTCTTCTCAGCAACTGGTCATGAGGGTGAGATACAGAGACACTGGAACAGTGAGAATAATAGCAATGGCTCCACCAGCTCAGGATATCAGCTCCTGGAGTTGGGGAGGCAGAACTTCCTTTGCAGATTCTCCCAGGAGGCTTTGCACACTGACAAGGTGATGGTCCAGCTTTACCAACTTTCACCCAGTGCAGCTGCCACTTCCCATTTGACAATCTGGCTAGTTTTGCTCTGGGACAAGGGATCTTAAAATAAGGTTGCCCAAGTGGGGCTTTCTAGTGTGAGATTTCTTTTAAAATTAATGTAAAGACCCCTTTTCCATTCAGCTCCTTTCTGTCTTCTGGTTTGCAGGTTGGATGCCAAATCTTTACCACCTCTGTGAGTTCAATGGTTACATGTGTATTTCCACCACCTCTGTCAGGAATGAGAAAGCATCACACAAGGCAGTTGGACCCTGGGACCTGGGACCTGGGGTTTGGTCTGGGGTCATGGAATCTTTGCCTCAGAGATGATAAGTGTTTGGTAGCCAGTGTATCACAAGTGATTCAGGTAAACCCTTCCTGAAGGAAGCCAGGCTGGACTATGAATATAATGGATTTCGTTATCTTGTGGCTTGCTACCTGGAGGCATCCAGGCCGGGCTTTTGTCCGCTCAGGTACTCGTTTCCACCTTGACTACTAATTTCAAAGCATATGTCCTGGTGCATCATGAGTACCCAGGGAGAAGGACTTCCTAAAAGTAAGGCCCCTTGAGGCTAATGGATATAGACAGGGACCTTGCCTTTTTCACGTTCTCAATCCCATACACTGAGCTCACAGTGACACTTTCAGTCTCTACCTGACCACTATCCACATGTAACAGAACTGAGAACTGTATAAGGCATCATGCTTTTCTATCATTGCCAGAAAACAGAGATAAAAGTGCTACTGAAATGTCTTCACTAACTTGACCCTATGCTGAAAATACCAACCTCTTCTGCTTATTTAAAAGTCCCATTTCTTTGGATGAATCTAAATTCTTTGACATGCATGACAGTGTCCTTTACAACCCAATCCTGTGTCCTTCAAAAACCTCATCTCTTCCATACAGCCCCTCCCCAATTTTGGTTTGTACAACCTTAAGGCAATCAATTGGGAAGTTTTCTTGGTTTTGCCACCACATCTTGCTTTCCCAACCTCAGGCCATTTGCACATGCCATTTCCTCTGCCTAGAGCATTTTCCCCCTGTTCCTTACTTCACATGGATAAATTTATTCATCCTCCAGTTTACATATCACCTCCTCTTGAAAGCCTTCTCTGAGTCCCAGGCCAGGATAACACAAAACTCTCTATTTCATTCATTCTTTCACTCATCCATTCACTCATTCAAAAATGAGTGACTTTTGTCTGCTACAGCACTGTTACTGGGTAGGATAATTACCTGTCTCTATCTGGATGGGCTGAAAGTTGGGGTCTTGAGACCAGCTCAGGGCTAGGCATGTAAGCTGCAGAGAACCTCTATAATCAAGTTTTAGGTCCAGGTCAGTGGCAGAGAGAAGGAAAGCTCTTCCCCCCAGCCCTCCTTGGGCCTACAATCTCAGAGAAAGCAAGAGTCTACAGATGCTCAACAGCGTAAGCTCCAGGCTAAGGTGAGAAGCTCCAGACCTGAGGAGCCTTCCAGATGAGACAAGCAGTGCTGGGTCTCTTTACTTCCTTTGCCACCTTCTGCTATTCTGGGAGGTCAGGTTAAAATATGAACTGGATCTGGTCTCTTGCACTCAACAGGGCTGCTGGCCCATGCACTGACTTTGTTTGGGTGCTAGAATGGTGTTCCTCCTGGGTCAGGAAATCGAAAATGGTGCCCCTTCTGGTCAGACAAATTAGAAAAAAGATACACCTTTCTCTGGACTGAAGCAGCCTCATGTCTGTTTTCATAGCTGGCTTGACAAATGGAGAGTCAGGGGGGTTTAACTCCAGAGCCTTTGGACAGGGCACAACCAGCACAACGACATGCCTGGCAGGGCCTGGATACACAAATCTTGACCTGTTTGACCTGCTCTAAGGATTACTTTGAGGGTTGGGGGAAGAGGTGGTAGCCCAAAGACCTTCATTTCTGTTACCTTCAGTGACCTCTACTTGGCTGTGTCTTTACCAGTCTTGACGGGCTCTGCCCCTGTTTCCAGATGATAGAAATATTTTCATAAACTCATTAGGGATGTCCAGATTGTTTAATGACCTGTGAGTCTTGGATTCCTCCTTCTCCAGAGGAGGGAAGATATAGGGGCTCAGGGGGGCCAAAGGCAGACTGTAGGGGGTGTGTGCATGCATGTGTGTGTGTGTGTGTGTGTGTGTCTGTGTGTATAAGGGGGTGCCATGACAATGCAGAGGAGCCCTTCACGTCAAGGACATAATGACAGGCGGACAACAGAAGCCTCTGTGCTCTTGCCTCCTGTCCCTAAGTGTCTCCTTCCTCGTCAGATACTCACTCCTGCTCTGCCATGTAAGAGGCAAACTGTTGCCCACTGGACCCTGACATGACAGGATGGCCCCCCTTGTTCCTCCCTGTCTTTCATTTTGATAACAGGCCTCTCACAATTCATCTTCTTCTTCATCTCTTGGAAATTTCTATGCACATAACTGCTCTCTGCTCCTATATCCCCCATCTTCGCTGCGAAACGGTCCTCAAGAGGCTCACTGGGAGGAGTCCTTCTAGATCCACTTTTGTGCAGGAAAAATGCACTCATGTACTGGGGACCCCTAGATAAGGCCTGCGACCCTCTTACCAAGCTTCTCTTCTGAGGTCCGCTCTGAACCCTTCCTCCATCTCAGTCGTGTCCTTCTTTCCATGTCTTCACAAAGGCCTATTTTGGGGGCTTTGCACAAAAATTCAGCCCCTGTAAAATTTGTTTAATCACAAAGTGAAAT